GCACTGGAAGTTGTAAACTTCATGTGCTGGGGTAAGAATTTTAATAAATCATTTACTGGGAATGTTTGTTTTATTGTTCTCAATGTGTTACTCTAAAAAACGCTGAGGATTTAATACTACTTCTATCACCTTCTCCTTGTTGACAAATGTGTAATTTGCAAGTGCTGATTTCAGATGGGACAGGCGCCAACAAGAGTTTTATATGTCATGTTCAAGTGCGTAAATTGCTACCTGTATTTAGGTGGAAGAAATGAGCAGCAATTACTTATGAAATACAAATGGGCTGTATAGGCTAAGGTAGAGCCATGGGCAGCTTTCATCAACATTGAGAAAGTGCATGCTGATTTCAGTGTCACATGTCTGTCCTGTGACAGCATGGCAAGAGATGTGTAAATTCCTTGCACAATTCCTAAATCAGACACTTTTTTGGCCGAAGAAAAATTAAAGTGTAATTCTTCCCTCTGTGAGTTTTAACCAGTTCTCCCTCTGGAGCATTTTTTGAACACAATGCAAATATGCATTTTTGGCTAGAAATGTACTTACCCCCTTCCCCCCCCCCCCTGAATATTATATATTTTCTGTGAGCAAAGGCCCTGTGGAATAAAAAAAATGGTCGTTGACATTTTTTTTCACAGTGCAAGATATTTGCCAAACTGTTTATCAAATCTACAGTATATTTTCATTAAAAAACACAATAAAATTACATAATTATCCCCCAATTTTTTTGTACAAAATAAAAAAAGATGAGGTTGTGTCGAGTATTTGCATTTGCCTGCAAGATGTGAAAAAATTAAAGCGTATGTTACCCTCTCTGTGTTCACCAATCACTTTTCTTCCTTGCTCTAAACTGACCACACAAATCATAGAAGCTAATCTGTGTTAGCGTGGTCAGTTTGCATCTTTAGCTCGCCATTCAGAGGCACAGGACACTGTGCAGACACACAGCATACTTGTATTGGGTAGCTTGTTCAGCCAACATGTCCCCTGGCCAATCACAGCCTGACTCTTGACCATGTTCCCTGCTCAAGCACAGCCTGTATCTTGCCTCAGGCTGAACCGACTATGGAATACAGGCATACTGTGTCTGCACAGAGTCCTGTAACCCCAACCCCCCACTATCAGGAAGAAGAGGAGCATGGTCACATGACAGAACTAAAAAAAAAAAAGTATGAAAAATAACTTCTGAAACCAATCAACAACAGTTATGGTGCCTACATAGTTATAACTGTATTAGAAAGTTTCTAAAAGTTGGTATATTCACAACTACTTTAAGATATCCAAAATGATCAATAGGTAATGCTTTATATGTCTCTACAGCTCATCGGTTTGGAGTTGACCATAAATAAGGTACTTAGAATTACTGCTCTCACTCTGACATGTGCAGTAATACCCCATATGGGATAATAGAAACTTCAGCGCAAACTAATAAAATAACAGAGAAAAAGGGTGAGAGCAACATTTCTTAGGGTAAAAAACCGCAAGAACCTAAATACACATAAATCAAACCATGTGTCCAAAACAAAAAACAAAAACTCAATGCTCCAAATCTTAGGGTTCAAATATGTAACTAGTGTTGATACTGCTGCCCACACCACTTGCGTTCCCACAAATAAACAGTAAAATAATATAGAAGTAAATAGGTGCCACACAGTACAAATACTATGATTTATACCTAATGATAATTAATCATATAGTGACCATATACAGTGGGTATAGAAAAGAATCACCCCCTTTAAATTAATCACATTTTGCTGCGTTGCAGCCTGAAATGAAGGCATTGAAAATGGGTCTTGGATGGGTGTTCCAGCATGACAATGACCTAAAACACACGGCCAAGGCTACAAAGGAGTGGCTCAAGAATAAACACATTAATGTCTTGGAGTGGCCTAGCCAGTCTCCAGACCTTAATCCGATTGAAAACCTGTGGAGGGAGCTGAAAGTTCGAGTTGCCAAACATCAGCCACCAAACCTTAATGACTTGGAGAGGATCTGCCAAGAAGAGTGGGCCAAAATCCCTCCTGAGATGTGTGCAAACCTGGTGGCCAACTACAGGAAACGTCTGACCTCTGTGATTGCCAACAAGGGATTTGCCACCAAGTGCTAAGTCATGTTTTGTGAAGAGGATCAAATACTTATTTCCCTCACAAACATGCAAATCAGTGCATAATTTGTTAGACATGCATTTCTTTTGAATTTTTTGTTGTTATTCTGCCTCTCAGTGTTACAATACACCGAACATTCGGTTTTTAGACTGATCATTTCTTTGTGAGTGGGCAAACATTCAAAATCAGCAGGGGGTCAAATACTTATTTCCACCACTGTAACTGTAATAAATGACTGTATTTTCCAGCAAAGGTACCCAGATTACAAGGTTGATTTACAAATCCTTCACCATAAAGGTATTTAGTCACTTGCTGGAGTTCAGTTTTAACTCCTAGGCTGCTGTCTTTGTCACATGTGAGTAAGAGGAAGGTTTTTCCCATTTTTTATTGTGAAACCTCCCAGTGAGGAATTCTAGATCAATTCCTTGGTATGATCTATCATAGATTCACATAACTGTCATAACACTTGAGGTGAAAGAAGACAGAATCATACAGAGGCACCATCGGGGCTGGAAATATACAGTGACATTATACACAGAGAGGAGAGCTGTGTTATACAGATATACACGCCATATACAGATGTGGGTGATAGAAATAATCAAACCATGTGCAATCTAAGTTACAGAAGTAGCCATGACAGTGTGAATGCTCCATTTAAAAAAAAAGGAAGAACAAACTCAAATAATAAGTTCGAAGTACTTACAGTTGTGTTCAAAATAATAGCAGTCAGACATCACTAACCGGATCAATCACTGTTTTTGGTAGAAATGATATTTCCACATGGCAAATAATTTACTATCAGGTGTAGTAGAGTAATAGAAATCCAACAGACCCAACAGTCATGACATGCATGCTGCTGATTCTGTGTCATTGAATCACTAATTGAAAGGGGCATGTTCAAAATAATAGCAGTGTGGGGTTCTATTAGTGAGGTCATTCATTCTTTGAAAAACAGGTGGCAATTATTGCCCTTATTTAAGGAAGGAAGGCAGCAAATGTTGTACATGCTGGTTACAGTGCATTTCTCTCTGAAATTCTGAGGAAAATGGGTCGTTCCAGACATTGTTCAGAAGAACAGCGTACCTTGATTAAAAAGTTGATTGGAGAGGGGAAAACATATAAAGAAGTGCAGAAAATCATAGGCTGCTCAGCTAAAATGATCGCAAATGCTTTAAAATGGCAACCAAAACCTGAAAGACATGGAAGAAAGCGAAAAACTACCATTCGAATGGATAGAAGAATAGCCAAAATGGCGCGGACTCAGCCAACAATCAGCTCCAGGAAGAACAAAGAAGGTCTATAGTTACCTGTGAGTACTGTTACAATTAGAAGACGCCTATGTGAAGCCAAGCTATCTGCAAGAAGCCCCCGCAAAGTCCCACTGTTGGAAAAAAGACATGTGCTGAAGAGGTTACAATTTGCCAAAGAGCACATTGACTGGCCTAAAGAGAAATGGCGCAACATTTTGTGGACTGATGAAAGTAAGATTGTTCTTTTTGGGTCTAGTGGGCGGAGACAGTTTGTCAGACGACCCCCAAACACTGAATTCAGGCCACAGTACACTGTGAAGACAGTGAAGCATGGTGGTGCAAGCATCATGATATGGGGATGTTTCTCATACTACGGTGTTGGGCCTATTTATCGCATACCAGGGATCATGGATCAGTTTGAATACATCAGAATACTTGAAGAGGTCATGCTGCCTTATGCTGAAGAGGAAATGTCCTTGAAATGGGTGTTCCAACAAGACAACGACCCCAAACACACCAGTAAACGTACAACATCTTGGTTCCAGACCAACAAGATTGACGTTATGGAGTGGCCAGCCCAATTCCCGGATCTTAATCCAATAGAAAACTTGTGGGGTGACATCAAAAATGCAGTTTCTGAGGCAAAACCAAGAAATAGAGAAGAACTGTGGAATGTCGTCCAATCATCCTGGGCTGGAATACCTGATCACAGGGGCCAGAAGTTGGGTGACTCCATGCAACACAGATGTACAGCAGTTCTCAGAAACAGTGCGACTACAACCAAATATTCATTAAGTGATTCAAAGGGAAGCAAAATCTTCAAACATTTTTCAGTTTATATAGTGAATGTTTGAGTTTGTAAAGAAGAATACAAACACTGCGATTTTTTTGAACCGTCTAATATTCACTTTTCTTCAATTTTTTTAGAGGAACAACACAAATATGATCTATTTTTCTTCATGTTGTTTTGATTTGGAATAGAATGTGTCGTGTTCCCAATGCATTTGTGTGTATGGAAATAAAAGCTATTAGAAGGATTTTGAGCTTTATTCACTTTTTTCAACACACTGCTATTATTTTGAACACAACTCTACCTTTGACTCAAAGTGTTACTAAACCCACAACCGTAAAATCAGTCTGTATATGCAGTAAAGCATTCTCGTTATACTCACTGTGGAACCTAATGGGTTAATCCTCTGCACTGTGTAAAAAGGATGTTTGATCCTGTCTTCTCTGATCCTCCCCTTCTTCCACAGTCCCCAATCCATCTGCTGATAAAACAGAGCTTTGGGACACTCTGCACATGCTCAGTTTGGTGTGTATTGCTATAGAGTTGTTGTTTTTTGGGAGAGTGCATGTGATCAGCACAGGGCCAATCAGCGCTGTCCAGACAGAGGGTCAGCGGTCCTACAGCCTCATAGGACAAATCAGGGGAGAATGAAAACTCCTACAAGCTTTAACCAGTGTGCTCTGCTGGGCACTGCGAAAAGTCACAAGACTGCTCTAACTGCTGATGAGAAAAGGTATTTAGCAGTTTATATTTACTACAATAATTGCATTTCCATGCTATGTGTACTGTGGGAGACCAGATATAGTGAATGCAAGGTCCAGGGAGACCAAATATAGTGAATGCAGGGTCCGGGGAGACCAGATATAGTGAATACAGGGTCCGGGGAGACCGGATATAGTGAATTCAGGGTCCGGGGAGACCAGATACAGTGAATGCAGGGTCCGGGGAGATCGGATATAGTGAATGCAGGGTCCGGGGAGACCAGATATAGTGAATGCAGGGTCCGGGGAGACCAGATATAGTGAATGCAGGGTCTATGGAGACCAGATATAGTGAATGCAGGGTCCTGGGAGACCAGATATAGTGAATGCAGGGTCCGGGGAGACCAGATATACTGAATGCAGGGTTCGGGGAGACCAGATATAGTGAATGCAGGGTCCGGGGAGACCAGATATAGTGAATTCAGGGTCCGGGGAGACCAGATATAGTGAATTCAGGGTCCGGGGAGACCAGATATAGTGAATGCAGGGTCCGGGGAGACCAGATATAGTGAATGCAGGGTCTATGGAGACCAGATATAGTGAATGCAGGGTCCTGGGAGACCGGATATAGTGAATGCAGGGTCCGGGGAGACCGGATATAGTGAATGCAGGGTTCGGGGAGACCAGATATAGTGAATGCAGGGTCCTGGGAGACCAGATATACTGAATGCAGGGTCCTGGGTTTAGTAACACTTTAAAATGTAAGTTCAATCAGGCTCTGATTAACTTTCTCTGACCACACAGCTGGTGTAGACATCCAGAGATTTGAAAGGTGCAGTCTTCTTCCGGCATGTAGCAGAGCGATTTTCATTGGTCATATGCTGCCACATGACCACTCGAAATGGCTCTGATCCATCCCAGGGAAGAGGAAGAAGACCACAACTTTCAAATTCTAGGACCCCTGGCACCAGCTAGGTTGGCAGTGAAAGTGAATCACCCATGGAAGTAAGCGCAGAAGGGGCCAGGAGGGGATGGGAAGGGTGTATGGTGTTAGTTCACCTTTTCATTTTTTTATGAAAAGATGAACCTACATCTTAAAGTGTTACTAAACCCCGGACCCTGCATTCACTATATCCGCTCTCCCTGGACCCTGCATTCACTATATCCGCTCTCCCCGGACCCTGCATTCACTATACCTGGTGTTGGGTTATACTCGTGAGCCAAAACAAGATACTTCCCTTACCGTGATAGGTATAAACTTTAAATCATAAATATACTACTGGTGCTTCAGCACTATACACATAGCTCATGAACTGTGTTACAAACTAAACCATAAATAGTGATATGTATCTAGATATATACATATACGTGCCGCGCTCCATATTAAAAAACAAGAACTATATATAATAAATAATAGTGATAATATTGTCGTGGACACACAGTGCTCCAAATAAGTGCAACATAAACATAAAATGTGTGAAGATGAGTATAACAGTCCTCTTTACACTTCTATAGATATTCCAGTGATGGGTGAGATATATAGTGCCACACTCCTGTGCTCTGTGGATGGGTGTGCGCTCACCTCCTTGTCAGCCAGACAAGCTGACTAAACACACTTTTTGTCCTCACTGGACAAGGTGGGTATCTTTGCTTTATCTGCGTGTCTCCATCCGATGCTGGGTTGCCTAATTGCCACCAGAGGTCTCCCTCCTTCCACACTGGGACCTCAAATGGATTTCTTATAGGGCTGATAAGGATGGTATTTCTCCTCTCAAATACACCATGTAAGAAACGAAAAACCACAAATGGTGCCTTATCCTTAGTATGGCCAGAGCCCGTTTATTATCAAGGAAACTCCACTCACATTTTATTCCATAAGTACAGACATCAGCTGGCGTGTATGTCAGTCCTGTGTGGCTGGCGCCGCTCGTCCACCGCGGCGTCGTGACGTCAGAGCCCCTCCCCCTGCATTCACTATATCTGGTCTCCCACAGTACACACAACATGGAAATGCAATTATTTTAGTAAATATAAATTGCTAAATACCTTTTCTCATCAGCAGTTATAGCAGTCTTGTGACTTCTATCATTGTCCAGTTGAGCACTGGTTAAAGCTTGTAGGAGAAGTTTTTATTCTCCTCTCACTGCCCCATGAGATTGCATAACCCCTGACCCTCTGTCTGGACAGTGCTGATTGGCCCTGTGCTGATCACATGCACTCTCCCAAGAAAACTAAAAGTCTTTAGCAGTACACACCAAACTGAGCATGTGCAGAGTGTCCCCGAGGCCCTGTTCTATCAGGAGATGTAAATTGGGACCTTGGAAGAAGGGGAGGAACAGAGGTAACAGGATCAAACATTCTTTTTACATAATGAAGAGGATTAATCCCTTAAATTCCACAGTGAGTATAACAAGCATGCTTTACTGCATATATAGACTGATTTTACTGTTGTGGGTTTAGTAACGCTTTAAGCACGTGTCCCTGTCATTTACCTCAAATGATTGTGGCAGGAGGATGGAAGTGAAAGGCATTTTTGGTTCATTTATGGCATGTAAAACTGTACACGAGACGATCCATTCCATACTACTCCAGGGTACAGAACCTGCTTTAAGAACATGCATAGACGGGAAGAGTTCCAGTGACTATAATGGAACAGATGTCACCATGCATTTTGCTTGCACTTTCACATGCACTGAACTGCACCAAATGTTCTCAAGTGTGAATGGGGGTCTACAGGTAGCCTCATTCAAAGTGATGTGGTGGTTGTAGTCCAGCCAGGAAGACCATGTTTTAGGAAATTTAGAATGAACACTGTTTAGAACTTCTCACTTTAAAACATTTCTTTTACGTACAGTATATCTTACTGATTTGATAAAGGTTTCAACAAAGGTGTAGCAAGATACACAGCAATACGATATCCAAACAAATAAAGTAAATAGAAGGTAGATTAACAGTAACAGTGATAAAGATGCAAACAAGTAAGGGCACCTAAGTGTCATTAATCAAGGTATCAAGTGTGGAGCAATGTCCAGTGCAGTTGGAGACCTGCAAGATTATAAGGTGCCTTGGAAAAGTATTCATACCCCTTGAAATTTTCCACATATTGTCATGTTACAGCCAAAAATGTAAATGTATTTTATTGGGATTTTATGTGATAGACCAGCATAAAGTGGCACATAATTGTGAAGTGGAAGGAAAATGATAAATGGATTTATATTTTTTTACAAATAAATCTGTGAAAAGTGTGGCGTACATTTGTATTCAGCCCCCCGGAGTCAAAACTTTGTAGAACCCACTTTCACTGCAATTCCAGCTGCAAGTCTTTTTGGGGATGTCTCTACCAGCTTTGCACATCTATAGAGGGACATTTCTGCCCATTCTTCTTTGCAGAATAGCTCAAGCTCTGTCAGATTGGATGGAGGGCGTCTGTGAACAGTAATTTTCAAGTCTTGCCGCAGATTTTCAATTGGATTTAGGTCTGGACTTTGACTGGGTCACTCTAACACATGAATATGTTTTGATGTAAACCATTCCATTGTAGCTCTGGCTGGATGTTTCAGGTCGTTGTCCTGCTGGAAGGTGAACCTTCGCCCCAGTCTCAAGTCTTTTGCAGACTCTAACAGGTTTTCTTCTAAGATTGCCCTGTATTTGGCTCCATCCATCTTCCCATCAACTCTGACCAGCTTCCCTGTCCCTGCTGAAGAAAAGCATCCCCACAACATGATGCTGCCACCACCATGTTTCACAGTGGGGTTGGTGTGTTCGGGGTGATGTGCAGTGTTAGTTTTCTGCCACACATAACGTTTTGCTTTTAGGCCAAAAAGTTCAATTTTAGTCTCACCTGACCAGAGCACCTTCTTCCACATGTTTGCTGTGTCCCCCATATGGCTTCTCGCAAACTGCAAACGGAACTTCTTATGGCTTTCTTTCAACAATGGCTTTCTTCTTGCCACTCTCCCATAAAGGCCAGATTGTGGAGTGCACGACTAATAGTTATCCTGTGGACAGATTCACCTACCTGAGCTGTGGATATCTGCAGCTCCTCCAGAGTTACCATGGACCTCTTGGCTGCTTCTCTGATTAATGCTCTCCTTGTCCTGCCTCTCATTTTAGGTGGACGGCCATGTCTTGGTAGGTTTGCAGTTGTGCCATACTCTTTCCATTTTCAGAAGATGGATTGAACAGTGCTCTGTGAGATGTTCAAAGCTTGGGATATTTTTTTATAACCTAACCCTGCTTTAAACTTCTCCACAACTTTATCTCTGACCTGTCTAATGTGTTCCTTGGCCTTCATGATGCTGTTTGTTCACTAATGTTCTCTAACAAACCTCTGAGGGCTTCACAGAATAGCTGTATTTATACTGAGATTATATTGCACACAGGTGCACTCTATTTACTAATTAGGTGAATTCTGAAGGCAATTGGTTCCATTAGATTTTAGTTAGGGGTATCAGAGTAAAGGGGGCTGAATACAAATGCACGCTTCACTTTTCAGGTATTTATTTGTAAAAAAAATGTTGAAAACCACTTATCATTTTTGCTTCCACTTTACAATTATGTGCTACTTTGTGTTGGTCTATCACATAAAATCCCAATAAAATACATTTAAATGTTTTAGTTGTAACATGACAAAATGTGGAAAATTTCAAGAGGTATAAATACTTTTTCAAGGCACTGTATATCATCCCACAAGGAAATCAAAACAATGTTGGCCAATGAAACACTGTCTAAGGATAGGCCAAGGATGGGTAAATATGGTGGAGATCAAGGGAGGAGCTGCTGTAGTTGTCAACAATCCTGTGCCAACAAGAAACGAAAGAGGGTCGTGAGGTAGTGGGTTAGGTAAGGATAGAAGGAGGGGTGGGGTTGTAAAGACTGCAGAGCCAGTCAAGGGCATCTGATCCCACAATCTATTTGTGCACCTTACACAGAGCAAAAGAAAATTAAAATCTAGGTTCATATGTTGGGTGTACTCCAGCCAGAAAAAAACATGTTTTCAAAAATTTAGAATGAGTATTGTTTAGAGCAGCCTTTCTCAGCCTTTTTACTCCACGGGAACCCTTGAAATAATTTTTAGATTTTAGGGAACCCTTGGTAAGATTAGTCTTTCAGGTATCATTGAGAATATGCTTCTAATATTGGTGATGGAAAGTTGGAAGACTGCCAACCTTATAGTGGTGGCCAGAATGACTTCCTTGCAGTCATGCCACAGGATTTGCCAAGTAGCATTGGACCTGGAACTGCGCAGGCACCATCCGATAGGAGGCCAATCAGCCACAGCTCAAGGAACCGCAGAGCTACCCCTGGAGGAACCCTAAGGTAGCATGGAACCCTGGTTGAGAATGGCTGGTTTACAGCTAATCACCTTAAAATATGTATTTTTAAGAAAACACATCTTTCAAAAGAAAAGAGTTAATACTACTCTACTGGCCGTGCCTCCAATATTCACTCTGTTCAGGAATCTTCTGCATCTGACACCTTTCTGGGTATAATTATATATATCAGCTGTTTGCCTGAAGTCCACCTAATGGGCATATAATCAGTGCAGTGTGACTCTTTGCAACCTCTCATTACCTGAATCATCCAAAATGTTCTTAAATGCTACAGAACATTTGGTTTTTACCTAGGCTTGAGGTCATACAAAGGAACCAAAACAGAGATTTTTTTTTGTTACTAAAAACAATAATGTAATTTTATACTGTCGACATGCCCCGATTTACATGGCATTTAAATTTTACTAAATTCACTTTTAAAAAGGATAACATTTCCCAACACTATAAAGTTTTGCAGTTTCTACAGTATTAAAGGGTGCGTTCTTCACATTTAACAGCAAGTTTGCATCTCATCCCACTGTTCTAACAGTCGCAGTCAGTGCTGGAAACCTTTCCCCGATGTGAATGCAGACACACAGAAAGACTGTCATTCTTTAATGAAAAGATTATTTCTCTTCCATCTGTGCAGGTTTCCCATGCATCGGATTTTCTGAGCGCTAATTACCAAGTAGAGATAGAGGCATTTGTTAGTGTGATGAGCAGTACAAGGAAAAATGTACTGGGAATGAATCAGAGAAAGCCGCAATGATTTCATCTGCAGAGCTAGTTAAAAAACACAACAGGGGAGACCTAAGAGAGGCCACACAACACGTCTCCCCACATAAACAACACTAAGTCCCTACAGACTTCTTCATTCAGTGAAAGTGGCTTAGCACAGTGGAAAAGAAGAGTAAATTATAAGTTAAGGGAAAAAAACAATGCACTCTTTAGAATAATTACCCTGCTATTATGAACGGGTGCTGAATTACAGGAATAGCTGATCATACGTTTGTCAACAAAAGTCAATTGAAGGCCAAAATGAATGACGGTGGTCCAACCCTATAAAGTGTACCTGTCAACATGGGTAGAATTGCTCAGACTGGGGTTTATTTACTAAAACTGGAGAGTTCAGAATCTGGTGCAACTCTGCATAAAGTCGAAACCAATCAGCTGCCGTTTTTATTGTCAAATTTTAATTGAATAAGCTGAAGTTAGAAGCGGATTGGCTACCCTGCACAGCAGATTTTGCACTCTCCAGTTTTAGTAAATCAACCCCACTGTGATGGATACCTGGCAGAGGATTGATGTTTGAAACATTGACAAATAGAAAATGTTTATAGATCAGGATGCAACATCACCAGTTGGAAGGCCTTGAACTGACATCATGCTGGAGACCTTCTCTGCCCTTTAGTCATAGCAGGTTCAACTTTGCACCATCATTGCTTCATAGTAGTAGATTTGACAGCCAGAAAGTGAATTAGTTAAATGTTAAACCAGTGGTGGTCAACTTACATGACAAATGGTGCCTCAGGTGCTGCCATTGTTATTATCAAAGAGCTGTACATAATATTCAGCATATGTAAAGCTACAGAAGACCTGCAGAGGCTTAGAATACTACAGTAGATGGTTAAGAGACTGTGGGCTTTCTACAGAAGATGGTTAGACCAGTCTTTTTCAACCAGGATGCCTTCTGGGTTTCTTCAGGAGTGCTCTGGCAAAATACCTGGCAAACAAGCCTACTTTGTTACCCTCATTAATACCTTCTCCTCCAGTCCTCGTCGGCTCTTCTCTACTTTTAACTCTCTACTTTCTCCTCCCCCACCTTCACC